CCCACAACACAGTCACAAGGGGTGCAGCTGCAGTGAGTGCAGATCCCCCAGGCACAGCACCCAATCCCCACTCACCCTGTCTTGGCAAAGTTGGTCCAGTAGGTCATCACCACAGCGCTGAGCATGACATCGTTCTTGGAGAAGTTGCAGGGAAATAGGTCTGTGGGGCCAATCATAGGGATCCCAAACACATAAGGCACCTCGTCCCCGTGGGCCGCATCGGACCACGCAGGCTTCATCAGGCTCTGGCAGTGGTGGTAGAAGGCGTAGAAGTAGGTGGGGGAACCGTAGCGGGCGTGCAGGTCAGCTGTCACCACTGATGGCTCTACCCACTGGTGGTCAGTGAAGAGGGCCACCAGAGTCTTACGACGTGTCTCAGGGTTGTCCCTGTCGGCCCAGTCTGTGTACATGAACTTGATGGTCTCCCGCAAGGTGTCCTTGCCCTCGGGGTAGCCGTACAGGTTGTCTACAAAGTTGGAGACTGAGTAGTCAAAGTCACTGCCCGAGACGCCGTCCTCAGAGTCCACCACACCCTCCACGAATTTCAGCCCCTCGCCCTGGTTGACCCCCAGCATGATATCGTAGTTGAGGAACTCGCCCTGCTCCATCAGAATCTCCGGGTCATCCGGGATCACATCCCCATCAATGACTGGCCCAAAAGCCACGTGGTAGCGAGCTGGCTGGATGTCTTGCTCTACCAGCTCCTTGGCACTCTTCTGCCGCAGGCAGTCCACCATGTCAACTGTGTCCAGTACATTGCAGCCCACTTTGTCGGCCAGCATGCTGGTGTACTTCACGGGTTGGTAGTTCACTGCCCAGCTGGAGAGTGCGGAGCCGCTCTGGATGATGGCTCTCTGGAAGAGACCTGCAAGACAGGCAAGGAGCAGAGGACATTTGCAGTGGAGTGAGTGACATTCCAACAGCCCAGCACTGCAGTACAGGCTGCAGCGTGGAGAAGACATCGATGACCTCGGACCCCTGCAAAGACGTAGTGCTCCAGCCCACACCTGGTGTTGACCCAGGCTGTTCTACCTGCTGAGCCAGGTTCACATGAGGGGCTTAGCTCAGGGTCACCATGAAGCTGGTAAGCTGGCAGGGTGACAGCTGGGCGTGCACTGGGTGCTCCTGGCAGCAACCAAGGGCTGCTGTGCTTCCTGACGATTCCATTGCAAGGGATGGCCCCGCATCCCTCTGTTGCAGTATCCTTCTGTCCCAGCGTGGGGAGAAGAGGGGCCATGGCTGCATTACAGCCTGGCCTTGCTGAGCAGCCCACACTGCCCCAGCCACCCCAAAATGTGTTGCCTGAGCCGCTGAGGGGCACATGCTGGCCTGCGTTCAGTGCCATCCTCCAGCCCAGGGTGGCACCAGCTTCACTGAGAAGCCAGCCTGCAGGCTGGCAGCAGTGGGAGGGTTAACACCTGCTCAGGGACACTTAACCCTGCATGTCCCACCCCTCTGCTTTGTCAGGGTCCCCCTCTCTCCCCTCCCTGCCGCTTCCTGCCCAGCTGGGACTGCTTGCTGCCAGTGCAGCCTCACAGGAGCATGCTGCCAGATGCACAAAGAGGGCCTTTCTGCCACTGGGAACACAGAGGGAGTGGACTTTCGCCCTGGAAAATGGGGCCACAAAGGCCCTGGCCCAGGCAGAGGAATGTGTGGCTGTGCTCCAGCCCCATGTCAATGGCGCTTGTGCTCAGAATACAAAGGGCAGCAAGGAAGTGAAGCCTCCGGGGTGGTGAAAGGCAGGCGGGCTTGGGGTGCACCTTGGGGTCCCTGCATTCTGGCCAGCCCTCTCCTGCACCTTGAGTGCTGCCTGCACCCTCGCCGGACCCCGGCACTCACTTGCCATGAGGGACTGTCTCAGGTGATCCCCAAATAGTGCTGTCCCAGCAGCATGATGGCCACAGGGCTGCCACCGGCTCCCTGAAAAGCAGAGTGCCTGTGTAAGACCCCTGTGTAGTCAAGGCCATGCTACTCTGCAGGGGAGCATGCACCTTCCCGCAGTAGAAGTGTTCAGAGGCTCCTGGCTCCAGGCCACCATGTCCATAGCTCTTGTCTGCACGCACAGTCCTCGCTTTGCCAAGTACCTGACGTACAGTCCCATGCACTGGGACAAACAGAAGTCACAAGCTCTGTTTGTCACCTCCCGGTGCCCTAGAAAGCCATGCCCAGCCTATGGGCTGGAGACTGGCCATGGGTTTGCTTGCCTCTGCGCCATCATGTATGTGCCAAAGAGCCAGGATGGGGGTTTCCTGGCTCCCAGGAGATGCTGTTCTTCCTGCCAGCAGCATCACTTCCCAGACAGACTCACTGGGCTGGGCTCTGCCGTTGCCCGCCCCTGCGTGGGGACAGGCAGCTGGTGTCACCAACAGCTGGTCACATCCCTGATAAAGCCTCTTCAGTGTGTGTCTGCATGGCCACGTCCTGACCCAGGATGATCTAGGAGTCTGCAAAAGACATGCCACGTCCTCTCCCCCCATGCCAGCACTGAGCTGAAGCCCAACAAGCACCCCAGGGAGGCATTGCCACCCTGCAGCTCACCCCAGAGCCCTCCAGCCTGCTGGGGCCCAGGCAGGAAGATGCACCTCTGCCTTCCCTGCCTGTTCCCCTCAGAGGTGAGAGTCCTGATGCACCCTGTGTCCTGCAGAGCTGGCCGCCATGGCACAGTGGAGCCAAGAGGTAGGACCAGGGCTCTGCTGGAGGGTGCCTGGTGTTGCAGGCTGCCGGCAGCTCCTGATTTCCCCTGTGCTTTGCACAGTAGCTGATACTGAAAACACCTCTGGGGTTGTCTAGGCTAAGCTCTGCTCACAGCAGGGTGCTGGGTGCCTTGTCCAGTTGAGGTCTGAGCATCCCCAGAGCTGGCAGTGAAGAGCAGCTGCTCCCATGGAGCAGGAGGTGGGGCAAAGGAAGCACAAGAGGTTTGCCTGGCAGTGACTGCTCCTGCCCTGGCACGGCTGGCTGGGGTGAGAAGCAGCACTTTGGGCCTTGGCGAGGAATCCACCGACCTACAAGGGTTGAGGCTGGCAGGGGAGCCACGGGTCTCCCTGGCAGACAGACGCAGCATGTGCTGCACCAGCCCCCAGTGCCTGCCTCTTGCAGTGCCTGGCAGAGCAGGCACAAATTAGCAGCTTCATTAATACCTCTCAATCACTATGAGTTTTATTTTGACATGATAAAAACAAACTTGCCTGGTCTGCGGGCTGCATCTTAGCACAGGTTCCCCACCGTGCTCCAGAGCCAGCTGACCCATCCCTGGGGAGATAGGTGTTCTGGCCAGGTCTGGACTCAGAAGGATGCTGCCCTTCATTCCCCACCACGAGCACAGGCTCTGCCACCTCTCACCACAGCTAAAGCCAGCCTCACGCAACCTCCATATCAAATGCTACCAAGCAGACCATGATGTTGATGCTGGTGCAGCCGCCTTCGCAGCAGCCTGGGCTAATTCCTGCTTTCAACACCAGGGTAATCTGTCAATTGACACCTTCCAGGGCTGGAGGATGGCTGCCCAACCTCGCAGGCAGCCTCGCCAGCTCCAGCCTCCTCCCATACACCCTCTGCCATGCCATCCGCCCTGCTGAGGTTCTAAAGGCCTCCTTCGTTCCTGTGCAGTTCCCGGGCTGTTGAGCAGGGCTGCAGCTCCTCACAATGGCTTCAGGTGCAATTTTGTGTGTGTGTCTGAGGTACACACTCGTGTCCACTGCCCATATGCACCCCCTTCACCCCTGCACCACACCTGGGGATACAGCACTGGAAGAGGACTGCACCCTCATATAAAGACCCTGTCACCAAGTACCCTATGGACCATGTCTAGTTCAGCCTTTGCTGTGCTTTCCTTTAGGAAGTTTATCAAGAACATCTCTACTCGCATGCTTAATTTTTTTTTTCCCCAATGCTCAACCTCAATGTCTTTGCAGGTGGTTTACATGCATTTGTTTTTATGCCAACACAAACTTTTAGCATAAATAATTCCTTTCTTTATCAGAGTAAACACTCTGCTATATTTTCAGATATCAATCATATCACTTCCACATGTGTTTTCCTAGTCACAGCACTTCCAGTTCTCCCAGTCTTGCAATATGGGGCCCTCCATCCCTCCCCAGAGTCAGGTCTGGCTTTCCCTCTCTTCCAGTATGAATGCCTTCCCTAGCACTGAGATCTGTGCTCCCAGTGGCCTGCATGATGCCCTACACCTCCTCCCACCTGCATGTGTGCAAGCCTGGGTGCCTGGGCAGGGCACTGCAGGAGGTCCTCACCTCTCCCATGCCCAGCTGCTGGCCCTGGCCTGCAGCCTCGCAAGCTGGAAGCACCAGCTCCATCCCTGGCTCTTACATGCTCTGCCACTGGCTTCTCCCTGCCCACAATGAGAAAATTTTGCTTCCCAGCCCTGGGTCAGGCTCTCACCAGTGTCTAATTAGAAAGCAGCCCTGACTTTGCTAGGGTGGCCAGCAGCACTGAGGCGGGATCCCTTCCCTGAGTTAGCATCAGCAGGGCACTTGCTCGCAGCCGCAGCATCCTCAGGCACAGCTGGCACCTACCTTCAGAGTGGTGGGAGAGGGTGAGCAGGCTGACGCAGGAGGCACCAATGCCGGAGCCGAAGACAGTGATCCGCAAGGGATCCCCCCCAAAGAAGGCGATGTTCTCGCTGACCCAGCGCAGCGCCTGTATCTGGTCCAGCAGCCCGTAATTGCCCTTGGCAGCCTGGTCCCCTGTGCTCAGGAACCCTGCAGGCCAAGGGGAACCCAGTTAGGGATGAGGAAGCAGGGGCTGTCCTGACCTCCCCCTCCTCCCCCCCCTTCCCCAGGCCTAGGGGAGCTTCTGTGGGACTCTGTCCCAACACAAAATGAGACCCCACTATCAAGAGAGTACTGTGAGCTGTGACCTGAAGCAGGGAGACCACCGAGCTCCAGCCACCCTCTGCAGGGCACAGAGGGGAGAAAGGCTGCAAGTGCAGTTGCAAGCCCCAGGGAGCTTCTCCAGCCAACTGCAAGCAGTGACAGGGTGACGGGCACAAAGCCCTCTCCTACCCATACCACCACCTGTGCTAATAACGGGTCAAGATGTCTCACACATGGTCCAAGAAAAGCCAAGAAAGCACTGGTGGCTACAGGCAGGCTGAGTGCATGCAGAGCCAATGCTTTCCATGGACTAGCGTGGCCTGGAGGAGGCTGCACAGATGTGGAGGTGGGCTGGGTAAAGAGGAACTGACTGCAGCTTAAAATACAAAGGGTCTCAGTGAGGAAGATGCTGAGAAATCCTTTCAATAGCGAAGGGAACACCCAAGATACGCTATCAATGTTTCATTTGCTTTGACTCAAAGCAGGAAGCCAAAACCATGGTCCTGAGCTAAAATCCAGGCGACTAACCCCGGCAGGCAGGGAACAGCACCAGCACTGCTCTGGCACTGGAGGTGCTCTGGCCAGGCATGCTGCAGCACTTCAGTGAAGATGATGATGGCACCGTTTAAGTCTTATTTCGTATTGTCACATGTCTCTTAAAGGCCTGACTTCTAATATTGAAAGGTCTTAAATAGGCTTGTTTTTACCGAGAAGCCTGTTTTCTACTGGGTAACTGCCATCTTTCCTGAGAGACTATGGGGTCCAGAGGCCATCAGAGGGATGTGCTGCCCTGGGTACCAGCCAGGAGCTGAGATGCCTGGGGAGGGTGCTGTGCCAGGCTGGATGGCTGGAAAGAGAGCTGGCCTCCAGCAGCTTGGCTGGGAAGGAGCTCTCCCCAGACCTCTGCACCCCTTGTTCTCCCTGCTGCTAAGGGAGGCAGGAGTGATGCTCCAGGCAGATCTCCTGTGTCCCAGTCCCCCAGGGGTTTCTGCAGCAGCAGGCAGGGGACCAGATTGCCTTTTAACCCTGTGTCCCCATTTCACCTCTGTAGGTCACCAGTGCTTGTAAACATGGGACTACCACCCTCCTCTGTACAGTACCCAACACCCTTTGGTGACCACTTCTGCAGATATCCAGGGTGCAGTGGGTGGCTGTGGGGGTCTTGGCAGCTCAGATGGCTTGGAGGCAGCCCGTGCCTGGGGAGGGAGAGCTGCCGGGTCCCCAGGGGCAGCCAGGCAGTACCCGCTGGCAGCTCACTGCTCCAAGCCCTCTCAGGAGGAGACACTGGGTAAACACAGTTATTATTTATTTAACCGCAGACCAATATTTGCTTTCAGCTGAGCCAGGCTGTGTAAATGCCTGGGGAGGGTCAATGCCAGGAGCCAGGCCATGCTGCAACTGCCCACTGGGGCACTGCCACGTGGCACCTCACTCAGCGGCCAGGGCGGAGGGCAGGGGCAGCGCAGCCCCCATCCTCTGGGCCCAACACCCCCCACCACTCCCCTCCTGGCTAGTTCAAGCCCAGTCAGATGGTCAGATGCGGGGGTTTGTCCCACTGCCTGGCCATGCTGGCAGCACAGCCCATGCCAGCCAGCCCATACCAAGCACTCCAATGCGGTAGTTCAGGGTGATGACAATCACGTTCCCGTAGCTGGCCAGGACGCTGCCGTCTATCATGTTCCCTGTGCCCTCCATGTATGAGCCACCGTGGATATACACCATCACCGGCTTGGCCCCGCTGTCCCGGATGTCTGGAAGGAGAGGCGGTTAAACACAGGACTCTGCTGATGGCCGCAGCACCCTGCCCTACAGGCAGACCAAAGACAAGGGCAATGCCAGCTGCCAGGACTGGGGAGGGGGTGTAGGAGTCAAACCCAGAGCTCTCCTGGGGCAACAGCATGGACCTCCAAAGCCCACCAGCAGTGAACCAACCCCACCAGCCCCTCTCCAGGTGCACGGCAGCTGCTGTGTCATCCCCACACTGCTGTCCCCTCAGGGGTCTCAGCACATGCAGGATTGATGCTGGCTGGACCTGGCTGCTCTTCCCCAAAGCTGGGCTCTGGCTGCATGCGGGAGCCAGACCAGCAGCACCTCTGTTGTGGGTGGGAGTTGCAGAGTCCAGCCCTCAGATACAGCTGCATGTCCTGTCTTTGGCTGGACCCAAGCCTTCGGCTCCAGGAAGTCCTGGAAGCTGGCATTGCAGTGGGGCGAGGATGGGGGTGTGCGGGACCTGGAAGGCAGGGCGGCACTGGTGGGTGCTCCAACGTCTGACTCTCCCACCCTCCCTTCCCATCCCCCTGGGAAGGCAGAAACCTGCCAGCTGCCTGGATGTGAACCCATGGCACCCCAGTGCCCAGACAGAGACATGGTGATGAGGCAGACAGTGTGTGCACGTGTGTGTGTCAGGGAGGTGAGCAGGGCATCCGGACAAGGACAGGGCATGAGGCGTGAAGTGAGGATGGGGAATGGGACCCCGAGGGCCAGGGAGGAAGGACTGCAGGAGCCTAGGGGACAGGGAGCAGCCACGCTCCCTCTCTTGACTGGCCCTCTTCAGGGGACATCCTGCCCCTTCTCCCCCATTGGCCTGGGATCCCTCATGCAGCTGAGCCCAGGCACAAGGGACGAACATCTGTGCTTGGCTCCTGGTACATCTCACCCATGTTAGACAGAGGAGGTGGTTGCACCTGTCGTGGAGATGGTGCCAGGTCCCACATGCCTGTGGTGCTCAGCCCTCTCCTGGGCTGGTGAGCCAGCATGGATGGACTTTGCCCTCCCTTGTATTCACCCACACTCAGGACCTTGCTTGGACAGGCTGGCATCACCTGTTAGGGCTGCTTGGTGTTGGCCGCCCCAGCCAGCTGCTGCTACCTGCCTGCCTCCCTCACTGGTGCACCACACTGTCCCAAGCAGTGAGCCCCTGCTGCAGACCCTGTGGGGCTGGGACTCCTGGGACACAGCCACACTGACTCAGTGGGGATGCCTGGCTGTGGTGGGCATGTTCCCTTGCACCCCCCAACCCCTGCCCACATCCATTCTTCTCTGCATCTTGCCCATCGCGGGGGGCTGCAGGGCAGGCTGATGGGTACCTCTGGCCATCCTCAGCTCTAGTTGTGGCCTACGGCATGGCTAAGTGTGGCTTCCCTTCCATATAGAAAACCTCTTCCCTCCAGGAGGTGAGGATATGGCAAAACCTGTGCTGGTTCTTCTCCTGTCACCAGGATGCAGCCAGGGAAATGCACAGACCTGGGGAGCAAAAAGCACTTGCGGCTCCTCCAGGACTGTCATCGCCCGTGTGGCAGAGCTACAGCAGGACAACTCTCCTCAGGGTCACATGCTTGAAATGTGAAGGGCAGGAGCATAGGTGCCTGTGCTTGTGTCCTCTCCTCCCTGCCACACGCTCCCACTGACACACGAAGGGACATCCTCGCAGTAGAATGGCAGCAATGTGCAGATATGTACCAGGGAATAAACAGCTCCTAATTGCTGCAGCACATTTTAGTGTGCAGGATTTAGCATAGTCAAGTCACTTAGGCTGAATACCAGTTTATGTCCTGGTACAAGAGATCCTGGGGCACAGGTTAGTGGGAGAAAACAATGGGGTTCTGGTACTGCCAAGGAAAAAGCTTTTAATCTGTTTCCCACTTCCTAAACGCAATCTGCCAGGCCATGCTTGAGCTGCCCTGGGACTCTGCACACCATGAGGTTTTACTGTCCTTGGCACGTTAGTGCTGCACCCTGGCCGACCCTTCCTCCTGCCTCCTCTTCATATCCCTGCAGTCAAACATACTGACTCCATACCCTGCAGATGAACAACCCCGTTTTACTAAAAATAGCTTATTCTGTAGCTTTCTTAGCCCTGGTGTACATCTAGAATCACATCTGCTTGAAAGCCCGCTTGCTCTACCTCAGCTGGTGCTGATGCTCTGGTTACAAGCAAGACCTTGCTTGTGTTGGGTGGAGGAGGAGAGAAGTTAACAGAAACCATGACCGAGCAGACCTCAGGTCTCCCAGGCATGGCCGGGTACTCTGCTGGTGCCAAGCTGCTGGCACGGCCGCCCTGGGGTGGTGCACACAGCAGGGCCGGGCTAGGGTGGAGGGGAGGTCACCGGCTCCCAGTTCCATGTCACCAGCTCTGGAGGGATGAGGCTGGAGGTGGGATGTGACTGGGCTTGGGGTAAAATGGGCCCAGGTCCTCCCAAACTGCCATGCTTCCTCCCTGCCCTCGCTCAAGCGGAGCAGGAGCAAACTTCTCCTGAAGCAGAAAAACCCCACAAGCTTCCCCTCATCCCAAGGAGGAGAAGGGCCTGGGCACCCTGCACAGCCGGCCAGCCTGCCCCCGGCCCCGCGCAGCTGCCTGGCACGGCAGACGGACACACACAGGGCTCCCTGAGGATGGCAGCGGATGGCGGGCAAACGGAGTTGCTTTGCGTGTCATGCAGTGGCAGCCTCGAGCACAGAAATACCTTCATCTTCATCCCCGTCATTATCCGCTAAGTCCTCGCCCTGTTTCTTAGCGCTGGCTCCTAGGGACCAAACATGAGGAGACAGAACAAAAAGGAAAACAAAAGAAAACAAAACCAAACCAAAACAACAACAACAAAAAAAAAACAACAACAAAAAAAGATAATTCAAAAATAGCATGATAGCAGAGACTGTGGGGCCAGGCCTGCACCCCACAGCACTGCTGGCTACTCACACTGCACCTCTCCCAGAGCCACGGCAGCACAGGGCACGGGCACGACTGCCATGGGAGCTGCGCCAGGATGCTGCTGCGCCTGGACCCCTTCCCAGATCCTTCATGGGGAGCGCCAGGGCGGCAGGAAGGAGGAGAGCAGGCCTGGGGCAGCATCAGCACAGGCGGAGAATCAGCCTCTCAAAGCACTTGCTGATCCTCCTGCAATCCCAGCCTGGACCCTGCCTGCTTGCACACCCTCAGCTCCCTGTGCTGGGGCAAGGCTCCCTCTCCTACTGCCTGGGTCAAGCAGGAGCCCTGCTCCCAGCTCTGCTGCCATCAGGAACAACCATCCCCTGCCACCAGCAGAGCCCACATGAAGGGTTGCCCTGGGTGGCCACTGACCACCAGCTGGGGTCCTGCCCATCACCTCCAACGCGGTGCATGGCCCCTTGTGCCTGGCATGGCTATGCCACAAACCACTGGTGCCACAGCACCACCACGGCATGCTGCAGGGAGCCACCCTAAAAATATGGGTTTCTGTAACGCCCTGAACACCTTCCAGTCATTGCATGGCCCTTAGGAAATCCATGGTGCCAGGGCACAGTCCAGGCCAGCAGCCCCAGCCCAGAACTGTGGGATGCTGTTGTGAATGGAGTGCACTGAACACTTCCCAAGCTTGCATGCAGCTGGGAGAGGTGGCTGCCGGGGAGCAGATGTGGTACAGACCTGTACTGAGGCCCCGTTGCTGCGAAGGGCTGCATGCCCTTGTGGGCACAAAGCCAAGTCATGCCTGCCCTGCACCCCTGAATTTCAGGAAGAGGCTGTGCTCTCCTTATCCCCATAGAGCTGCAGACCAGCACCTATGGTCCTCTGCTCCCTAATGCCTGCACCGAAAAAGTTCCCTTGGTGACAGTGACATCAAGGGTGACAGCGACCTCAAGGGTGACAGCAGGGTCTCCCCCAGGCAGGACTTCCTGTGCTGTACCTGCGCTACCCAGCAACCTCCCCAGATGCGCAGGGCTCTGAAGTCCTGCCAAGCACCCAGCTGATGCCAGGGCCCTGCTGCTATCGCCAGCCTGCCCCATTGCTGCCACAGCAAGGGTTTTGGACAGCCTCCAGCAAGGCTCCCACAAGCGAGGGGCAGCCCCGCAGCTGGACAAGGTGAACAGAAACTGGCTGGAGAAGATGAGATTGGAAAGTCATCCTCACTGCCACTCTGGGAGTGGGATCCTGCAGGTGTCACAGGTGGCAGATAACAGAGATGGCAGCATGGAGGGGGACAGGATTTCAATTTAAAAGGAATTTGTGATGGGGGAGTGAGAAGAAATGGCCATGATGGGGCAGCATCATCAGGGCAAGAGGCTCACACAATGCCTTAAGCAGCCATGACCTGCTGGAGAAAGTCTGGAGAAGCAACAACCAGAAGTCTGGAAAAATCCAGAAGGCAAGAGAAATTTGCAGGAGGCTGAGTCACATGAATCCCAGGAGCAGAGGAGCAAGGGGAGCTACAGCAGTGTCCCAACACATGAAAGACCACTGCAAGGTGGTGAGGTGAAAGAGCAACTCCCTCTATGCTGCACAGAGCACAGGCAGCCCTGGAGCTACACAAGGCAGGTTGAAGCTGGATGAGAAGAAAACCTTCCTGGCAGAAAGGGTAGGAAAGCACTGGAAGAGGTGGCATGGGGAGGTGTTTAAGACCAGGCGAGACACACTGCCAGGAAGAGATGAGGCAGAGCTGCTCCTGCCCAGGGCGGGGATGGATCAGCTGTCTCCAGAGCTGTCCTGATTTTCTCCAACTCTGCATTCACTTCCCAACTTATCCCTTCCATGCCCCAGCTCTGCCTCCTCACCTCCTGCTTCACCACCAAGCCATTCCCTGAGCTCCTCACATAATTCTCCTGTTTTCACCCATCACCACCCCCATCCCTGCCACCTCTTACTCCAGCACCCCAGCCCCAGCATCCCCCCTTCCTGCTGCGTCCTTCTCGTGTGCTCCCTTCCCAGCCCACCCGACAACTGCACACTCAGTTGGGCATGTGTAGCTGCCCAGCCTGTTTGCAGGAGGCTGCAAGCTTGACCTACTGCATCTTCCCTAGGAAGAGCTGCAAGCCCAGAAAGCACTTAAATGATGAAGTACGCATGCAGTATTTGCTAACCAGTGCTATGTGCCAACCTCCTTGGTACTGCTCAGGGATTAGGATTTTCCTCTAACAAAGACCACAGGCAGCGAGCCTTCGTCAACACTGTGCTTCAGAGCTAGGAAGCCAATCCCAGGCAGCTAGAGATTGCTTTCCACTGCTGAGGGCCCTGGTGCTGTTAAAGCTCTGGGACCAGCTGGGCTGCAGCCCTCCAGCCTGGTTTCCTTCAGGGATCAAAGTTCTCCATGCAGACACGGATGGAGGAACTGGCTGTGAGGAGCTGTCAGGCTGTAAGAGAGGGCAGAGGACTAGATCCCTGTGACCTGAGCAACTGTCCCGGCTGAGCAGGACGGGATCCATCTGGAGACCGCTGTCCCAGAGCTTAGGGGTGGCTGGGACAAGCCTAAAGCAACTTGAGCTTCACCCACCACAGAAGGGATAGTAGAAAGCAGCGCTGGGAAGCTAAGCAAAGCAGGAGTGCAGTAATGCAGGCCATGGGGAAGGGGAACAGCGCTGGCATGTGTGCATGGCAGATGCAAAGCACAAGCCTTCCCCATCAGCAGATCTGGGGTTACAGCGAACACAGGCTCCTGCGACCAAGCAAGCTTTTTGCCTCTCATTATGTTGTTCACCTCCATGATGACCCACCAATGCCCCACAGCTCATGAGCAGCAATTACAACTTCACTTTCCTCACTCATCCCTTGCACTTTGCTCCATTACTTCCCTCCCCTGGATATTGCCCTGTTCAAGGACACCCATCCCAGGAGATCTTCCTCCACACTGGCAAAGGCCACCGTGTAGAGCCCCGCAGCACCTACTCTCATAAGGATGGGTTTAAGCTTGTGGATTCACAGCTGGAAAATACAAAAGAACCCCTGGCTTTTACTCTCCTTACCCATCAAAAAATCCCTCCACTAACCCAGTGTGAATGCCTGTTGTGCCGCTTCACTTTAAGATGACTGAGAAGTGACATTGTTCAGGCCGATAGGAAGGATGCATGCACTTTTATCTACAGGCTCTAGGAAGATTTAAGTTCAAGTTCAGTAAAAAATAAAATAACTTTCCCTGAAACAGCAGCATCCATGCCGGTTTTATGCTATCTTAAGTAAACCATGCCAACAGCACTGACATCAGTGCAGAGATAAAGGAGGACGAGGAGCCTCGGTCCTTGGAGCTTCAGCATGGTGTGGATAAATGAAGGGCAGAAGACTGATCTGACACCTTTCCAGATTCAAATGTCTGCTCAGGGCAGCCATGGGCAGCTCCAGCACCCCCTCCTCAGTGCAAGCTCCCTAGGGCACCCAGTCCCATGCAGCAGCCATGGTGCTGCAGGGAACAGGAGCCCACAGCAGTGCTGCCACAATGTCTGATGGCCACGTGCACCCAAAGGCACACAAGCTGGTGGCCACACCAGCTTAGGTGCTTCTCCAGGAGTGACAAGGAACAGGACTGGGACAGATGACGGCTGTTGAACCTGCTGCTGCACAACCCCACAGGCAGGGGAGGCTCCCTCTGGCCATCAGCCCTTGCTCCGGGACTACAGCACACCTTGATGCTGCCCTGCCTCTCTGTGTCCCTTGGTGATGCAGAGGAGTTATCTCTATCCTTGAGCAGACTCCATAAAAGCACTGCATCTTCTCACACTCTGCTGCCTCTGCCAGCACAAACACCTACCCTCACCTTTGCAAACTGTTCCCCAAAGCAGACGTGGAGCACCAGGGCAGTGTCCTGCTCCCAGCCAGGCTGGTCAGAAGCCTTCCAGCAAGGGAGCACTGCAGAAGAGCTCAGCTGTAAGGGAAACCTCAGCCAGTACTCAGGCAAGTTTGCTTCTTGGAGAGCAGTGGAGAAGCCACAACGCTTTTCCCGCAGAGCAGCCAAAGCACATCCCGAGACCAGCAGCTGCTGGGAGCTCCAGCCACCCTTGCAGAGCAGAGGAAGACATTGCACCGGCACATTTCTCCCTGCAGCATTGTGGACTCTGCACAGCCCCAGCCAGAGAGATTAGAGTAGTCGCTAGTAAAAACACGGGAGGGCTGCTATGCGCAGGGCAGCTACACGTTTCCCCTCCAAAAGTGACATCCACCTCCTCATGCCCTGCAGCAAGGTCTGCCCAGGCTGGTAGTGAAGGGAATGGGAAAGCATCCCACACACACACACATTACAGTACCTGTCTGCAAAACGCAGCTCTGCCCTTTGCTTTGTGCTGCCAACACTTCCAGATTGTCCTTGGCTGTGGTGGGTGCTGTCAGCTCCCCCAGCACTGTGCATGGCTAATTATTCTCAAAGCACTGCTGCCCTGCCTTGCTCACAGAGAAAGGACCAATGTGTATGAAGGAGACCAGCACATAAGACATTTCCATATAGGAAGTTATCGTGGACAACTGGGCAGGGAAATAGGAATGTTTTTCTGTTCCAAGGATAAATTCTGATAAATTCTCAGTCCTTTTTCTGCTATGTAATACCCTGAGCTTAGGGGTGGCAGAAATCACGAAAACTCCAGTAAGGTGAGAGCTGAGGTGTTTTGAACCACCCAAAATACTACACAGTTGCCTGCTCTGTGAGAGAAGAGCTTATTCACCGCTCATATATGGCCTTGCTCATATATGGCCTTAGGAATAATAATCAAGAATATCCCATAATGAGCCAATGTTCAAATGACATGCAGCCCAAGGAAATTGTCACTGCAGGTACATTATCCTCACCCCAAGCATTACTAACCCAGGATACATGACAAGGGGTGGGGGAGCCTCTGTGTCACATCACAGGTCACTTCAATTAATTTGAGCCAATGGCCATCAGAGCTGTGGCTGGACCCGAAGGGCAGCACAAGTGTCTGGGTGCTTGAATTCCCAGCACATCATACCTGGGTACCCAAATGGCTGGCACTGGGGATCTGCTGGTCTGAGTCAGCAAAGCCCAGTGGGGGCAGAGGGCACAAACCCCACCAACTCCCCAGGAGGTGACCAGAGGCAACTGCAGATGGACTGCAAAGAAACCCTGCCTGTGAGCAGAGCTGATGGGGAAGGAAAACCAGGAGACAAGCAGCCCAAGGTGTCTCGCCATGCCTTATGTTGTCCCCCTTCTCCAGCCATAACCCAAACCCTGCTTCCCTGGCCCTGGCTGTAGGGCTGGGGGCAGCAGGGGGGTCCACCAGCCAAGGCAGCCGTTGGGAGGGCCGGGAGAGGAAGTGCTTTGAAGTGGCTGGTGATGGTTGGCACAGCCGGCTCCGGAGGCAGCGTGCAGAGACTCCCTAATGCATCAGCCCTTTCAGGGACAGCCTTGGCACTCAGAGAGATGGTGTGTGAATAGCCAGGACAGCAACAGGAAAAGCTAAGCAAAGCAACCCAACAACAGAAGTGAGGGAAATGGCTGGAAGGAATGCGCTCCCCAAAACTCCAAGCCCAGCTGTGCCAGACCCATCACCTCCAGAGGTGCAGGGAGGCAGAGGCCAAGATGCAGGAACCCCACTACTGTGGGATGCCCAGGACGGCAGCCCCTGCCCACCAGTCACCCCCTCCCTGCACTGAGCCTTTCAGAAGAGCTTGGTTGCCCGACTGCCTGCACATCCAACTTTGGGATGCACAAAGCAGCTCAGGCTCTCCCTGTCTGCAAGGGGGCCATGCAACAGGAGGGGCAAAGCATCGTTTCTGACAAGGGGCTGAACCAGCTCCCATTTGCATGTCTCCACTCCCCAGCCCATGGCACTGGGGCTGGCCAGGAACATAGGATCACTTTGGGGCAAGGAGGGGCTGAACTTGCCCCCCTTGCCCCAAAATGCAGCAGGATGAGCCCTGTAAGGCCCCGGGGATGGAGGCAAGGCAAAGTGGAGATGTATCTGAACTGGAGGTGCTCAGCCACCTGCAGAGCGGCTGGGGCTCAGGGAGGATGGTGTGCTGGGGGTAGAGAGCAGATCCTGACTGGCAGAGACATGGGGATGTGAGCAGCAGGGAGCAGCACTGGTGGGACCACACACTGGGGCAGAACATGGCAGTGCTTACACAGCCAGGAGAGGTTTTATGCTTTTAATCAAGGAGCTTTGGATGCAAAATGACCAGGGATGCAATGGGGAATAAGCACAGCCCAGGACGGGCTGCAGACCCCCATCACACAGGTGCTTCCCTGGGGGATGCACCCTTAAGGGATGGGTGCATTTAAGTGCTATCCACCATCAGAGGCTCCCCCTCATACCCAGGAGCTGGGAGGCTGCTGGTGCCAGTGGGATGAAGGTGGGAGAGCAGGCACAGCCCAGGAGAAGCTGTTCTGAAAGGCCTGGAGCAATATGAGCATCCTTCTCTGACCTGACTCCAGACCTGTGCTCACAGCTGGCACTGTGCCCGGCTCCCACAGCTGGGGAATGAAGGTGTCTGGAGCATCCATGGGGCTCCTCTGAGCACAAAGTGGGGGGTGGTAGGGCGGGTTGCTCAGAGGGCCTGTGGTCTGGGTGGTGGCACAGAGAGGTGCCGGAGGAGCACGCTGTGGGCCAGGAGCCGGCCAGGCACCCTTGCACTCTCTCACTCTTTCTCTTTCCTCTCTGTGCCTCTCTGCCGGTCGGCTTGCTACATACCTCCTTTCCTACATATTTTCTTGTTGGGCTTTCGGGTGCATTCCTTGGAAATCCGTTTTACTGTAAAATGAATAAAAGACTACAAAATAACAGGAGGCTCCACTGGCGGGTGTGGGCATGCAATCACAACCACGCTGCCGCCCTCCCACCACCCCTGGGACCGCGGGAGGTGGGGAGGGAGCGTCGCTGTGGGAGGAAAACTCTGGGCCAGCAGTGCTGGGCAGGAAGGAAGGCACGATGTATCCCACGGCCAAGGGCTCCAGGAACAGAGGAGTGGAGCCAGACGGCCTGGGAGAGGCCACCAGCCTGCCGGGCTGCTCTGCCACCTGCAGCAGACCCATTGCAGGTCCCTTCCAGCCCGCTGAAAAACTCTAGGGGCTCCCGAAAAAAGGCGGGGGCGGGTGTGGGAGCAGGCGCTGCCTCCTGTGCCCTCTACTTACAGTTCAGGTGGGATCCCCTACAAAGGAAAAGGTTAGAAAAGGAGGCACCCAGCGCTGCTCAGCCTCACCCCAACAGGACCATGCCCCGTGGGTCCCCAGCACCCCAGGTTCATCGCTCTGCCACTCCCGCCAGCGGACAGGGGAGCAGCCAAACAATGTGCCTGCCAGTGCCCCCAACCTCCCGTCCATACCAGGGCCCAGAAAAGGGCTCCGTGGTCCCTTCCTTGCCAGAGCATTTCCCCAGGGAGAGGCAGAGAGTGTTCCTCCCAGCCGCAGCCGCAGCCCGTGCCCACAACTCGCACA